GTGCACAAAGAGCTACACAATAAGCTATGTAGTAAGTATAATGACCTCCTAAAATAGCTTAATAAAAAATCCAACGAGTATTCACCAGAAAAGAGCCCTTTTGAGGCATTCAAATGAGGAACGCAGGCAAAGGTAAAATGTCATCATTCGGAAATTGTCACAGTTTGCAGTCATATAATTCTCAAAATTACTCCTTAATTTTTTTTTTTTAAATTACTGAAGCTTTGAAATTTGCACAGCATGTGCTATGCATAACAGTTACTCCTTCAATTTTCGGATTTAAATATCTCAGAATGCCCGAACGATGAAATACATATTTCTATTAGGTAGGAAATGGAATTTTACATACTAAAATTAAAGCTTCTCTAAGGAGTTAAAAAATCACTTAAAATATATTAACTTGAACAAGAGCGAGAATAATTCATGATGGGTTATCTTCGAAGACAAACTTGAAAATGATTCATCAGTATTAACACCGGCTTAAGTCAAATAACTTTAAGAACGAAACAAAACGCAAATTAAAATCCAATGTAATTCGAGCAGCAACCATTTTTTAGAGACAATCGTCAATAAAACAAAATTAAGACTGATGAAAACGTTTCTTTATGCCTCAAAACCACTGACACCTTCGCCTAACGGCTCTTTTGAAAGATAGCAGGGTTTCAATTTTGGTTTGAGAACCATGTAAGTCCAGTACTTTTAGCATGACCATGCCATGAAAATATGTCATACCACAAAATATCCTTGACGACTTGGAATTAAATTGTCTCTGGGTTATAGCTGAGATTTGAATAACGATACAAAAATTTTTTTTTTTTTTTAAACAGAAATTAATTTCAAATTGGATACTGAACGAAAGCAGGAATACTTAGCCAATACCAGTGTTTCCTTAGACTTCCATTTACGAGTTAAAAAAGTGGCAACATTTGGAGTATCTTCACGTATTCAATATGGCCAATTCTTAGATTTAAGAGCATTTTCCTGAATCACAGAAATAATTGAAATTCTTCGAGATCGAAAGCGAGCGTCAAAAGCCCACACACAGTAAGACACTGATTAACATTTCACTCATTCACAGCATGAAATATGAGGTTCTAAATTGGATATGTTCAATAATCTGTTTTACTTAGTGCACGTAAAGCTGGACGCATTCGAAGCCACAGTATTTTAACAAGAAATATTTTCAATAAGAAGCAATAATAAAAGGAACCTATATACCTATTCTGTTCAGACTTGTGAACGGTTGTCTTAATTAAGTAAGAAAGATCGAAATTCTTTTACAAGATACGCTGATACTCACAGATGAAATTCACTTGAATAAAATCAGTCTTCTTCCAGAGATTGAAAATTAAAACTTCCCCCTAGACGTTAACCACGTCGAATAAACTCATCTGAAGTAATTTTTGCAAAAATTTGGTCTAACCTTTCCTTTACTTCAGAGACTTACCTGTCGAACTACTCTTTTGCATTTGCAAGTTAAGTAATTACCACTGAGATGACTGTATAGACTCAGCTAAGCCTGCGAAGCTCAAATGTTGTCTGGTTATTCATAACCAAATTTTGATTTTTTCATTTCGGAAACTTGTATTATATCTTGCTTATGAGAAGATTACACAGAGGCTTGCAGCTTTTACCTGCTGGTCATTTTATAAATTCATGTCTATATGTGGGGTTTGCAGGTGCTTCGATGGAACGGAATCATTGGAGAGATAGATTAGCCTCGTAGGATGACAAATGAAAAGAATAAAAAGATGAAAAATAAAAATTTTATTTTCGTATCACCATGATCCATACTCTACATAGTAAATCCAAAGAAAGCTTTGCGTTTTAAAAAATTATGAGATGCCTGGAGAAAATTTAAAAATTGTCACATATTATACTTGTTAGATGCACCCTTAGGTTAAAAAAATTGAGAAGGGGAGGAAAAAAATTAACAATAAATTCAGCTGCTTCAGGTTTCTGATTTCAAGCACAAGTCCATTTTCACAAGGGTGAATAAAAACAAATATAATATCTTTCTTTCCAGATCCGTTACTCTTAAAAACGTATTTTAAATGTATAAGCATCAACAGCCATCTCATTTAATGTGTTGAAAGATTAAGAATTTCTCCCTAGCGGTTTTTAATCGTTCTGGTAATGCTTTACGCCACAACAAAGATTGCAAACACTCTCATTCCAAGTGCAAAGTATCCACATATAATCCAGAGGGATTAAGGATAATCCGCTTTCGGTTTTAGGAATTTGTAATCCAGCCGCTTAGACAAAAACTCATGCATTGTTCTTAAGAAGAAAATAAAATGGATTTGTAAATCTAAAGACCGAAAAACAGTTTGATATTTATTTTGAGAAATATGAGGCTCGAGGATAAAAATCTCTCCATAAAGTTTTAATAAAACGCGACCGTCCATTATTCGCTCTAGACTAGTGCCCTAAAAAGTTCCTTTTGAATTTAAGAGTTGAAATCTCATCCATTATTACTGAAACAAATTATTGTTTTAAAAAGTTGAAGTTGAAAAAAGATAAACAATCAAAGAAAATCTGGAGGAGAGCCGTGCCGACAATTCATATTCAATAAAGAAATCCTTCTTAGACAGCGAAAACAATGAAATGGCTTTTGGGTGTTCTAGAAAAGAAACAATTAAGTAATTAAGGTTCTGCCAGAGATGAACGTATCCATAAGTGAGAAATATTTTTCGCTAGACAATTTAGCTATAAACTCAATCTCGGTCTAGCATTAATAGCCGTTGTTTACCGCTGTCAACTCACTACTATTATCAGATGTGTTGTTTGGTAAGCTTTCAAGCATGACTGGTGCCAAAATGGCAATAAGTTGGTGTAATAATGATCTTTGAAAACGGGGAATTTTTTCTTAATGACGGTCTCTTTTCATGATAATTGTAGTCTGATCAATTTTTTATTCAGTCAATTTTTTTTTTCCAGTCAATGATTATTTTTGGTATTTTATACCGGTGAGATTAAAGCGAAAACAGAGTACACAATTCCTTCGGTCGGAGCACTTGCGATTGAAGCACGACTTTATTTCATTCTTGGCCCTGAATCTTAGAAACTTTGTTACCGGCCAGCGCAATAAATCGCAGGCGCCTGTCAGAGTCAGATCTCTTACTAGTATGACACATAAGGTTTTTCAGGGAAGGCCTCTCAATGCACAAAACACACTTACGAGCGAATGAGCGTTGTCACTGCGAGGATTGAACGAGTCAACGTTATCATGTACAGTTTTTATCACCGGAAAAGAATATAGCCATTTCTGGTAGCTCTCATTGCGGTAGCTCTCTCAAAAGTAAGATGCTGCATTTCGCCTCTCTCTTTATATGCTTACCCTTTCTTTGTTCTTCAAGATCGCTGATTCCAAATAAATCCCGTTTGTTAGCAATCTAATTGAAGAGCTAATGGCGGATTTTTTTGTGACGAGCGAGAGCAGAATCAATATTCTATGTTACCCTTGGGATATATGAGATGATAATGCCCCAGGGGAATATGAAAGTAAAGTTCCCTTAGCGTGTCAGGGACATGAATCGAAAATTACATGCTGATTAACCTTACTTCAACTTCATTGGCTCATTTCCGAGTCATCATGAACCAGGATTAAGTTTAGCGTCGAAAATAAGGCCTGAGAACGAGGCTAAGTGCGAAGTCGTTGTTACAGTAAGAAAAATATAAATTCTCAAGGGGAATTCTCTGGTCATTTTAACGAATATTTCGTGCTGTGAACAAAATATTTTATTGTTAGTTTCTTGCAGTACTACCCTTTGATACGAGAATTTAAATTCTGCCGTGGGACAGACAAAAACTAAAAAGTTTGCAATGGAAAAAAAGCGAAGACTGGGATGTTCAGCAACGAGGATACGTAGCACACCTGTTGTTCCGGAAACGCACAAAACAACTTGAAACAATAGAGGCATAATTTTCTAATCAGCCCTGCTTCAATCACGTGTAACAGCGTGGAGATAAGAAATGTACACGTAAATCTACCCTGTTTTAGCATCACTTCTTAGACTACCCACCTTTCAGCGTTCACCACCAGAGTTAGGCAATAACACCAAATCGAATTGCTTCTGGGTTGATATAGAATCTTAGATTTTCTATTTTTCCGCTAATTATTTTCACCAGGCGGTAGAGTTTCAGATCTAGTAACCCCAGACCGAACTTTAAAGATTGGTCGTTAAGACCAATTGCAAGAAAATCGGTCAGATTTCCCTTTAATGCTGAAGTAGAGCGGTGATCTTCTCTGATCCTATTTTTGTCTTTTGTCTTTCAATTCGCTTCCCCTTCCCAGCTTGAGATAACAGAAACAGCCGTGCCACAGTGAATGAAGAATCAGATGATCTAAAAAGTGGTCAGATGTCTGTCACGTCGTACTGCAGACACTTCCCGTTCGTACTGGAATAAGACTCAGCGGGACATGCCTGAGTCAAATGTCTGTTTTCGTCACCAGGATAGACTATTTAAGCCTAAAAGTCGCATCATCCACAAGGAAAAGCACATAACAGTTTCATTACAACTTCAACACGGACAAAGTGTGTAATTCATAAAGAATTCCGGTTTTAATCGATATATACGCAATGATCGCACCAGGCGCTAGAACTACCGAGAAATACCGCTTAGTATCCTAGCGACCGATTGCAGATTCAACAAAACAAGTTGACCGGCTTTCTCGATTGCAAACCTGGTTTGATCGCTCAAGCTAAAGGCACGGTTGACTGAAAACGAGATGTCGCTTCCAAAAACTGTTGGCTTCAAAGCTGAAGCAGTCGATAAATAAGGAGTTTGGTGTAGGTGCACGATAATTTCATTATCGTGTCCTTTGACGGCTGGAATACGGAGTAGAATCGCCGCGTCTGTGATCCACGAGAGATCAGAGATCGAACACTCAGTTCGTTTCTTTACGTTCGATTACAAGAACAAAATGGAATTCTGCTCTAAATCAAGAGAAACGGTACAAGATATCGAAATAAAAAAGACCAGTAAATAAGCACCCCTTACCTACATAAAATTCCCTTCAGTGAACAATGTCTTCGCTTTAAGAAGACAGCCTTTTACTTTTAATTATAACACAACCAAAGTAAAGCGTGCGCTCTGATTGGTTAATTCAGCGTACACCATTTGCCCATGGGTGTACGCTGCTGATGTGAGCAAAGTTTCCAAGTGAGCAAAATGTTTCGTAGGAAACTGTTTCTTTAAATAATGGCTGGAGTCTCTTCTGCCGGAAATGTGTAAATGTCTTCGAAATTGCGGGATGAGACAGAAATGCCATCCATTAAATTATTTAATTTCTCATTTCCTGAGCAACCTGCAAAGAGATTTGCGAATTTAAGTGAAAGCGAACTTTAATGGCTTGTAAGTGAGCGGCACTCCAAAAAGACAAAAAAAAAACACAAACTGGTCTGTGTCCACATTTAAAGGTAAAATGCAGCTATCAGAGATAACCTGGCACTTTTAAATAGGCTTCAATAAAGCTAAAAATAAGACGAAATTAGTTACTGAAGCCTTTACTACTGAGTAAAATGTTTGTAACCGTGGAACCCCATTTAATGCTGTACGTAAACAATCTTGACGAAACGTTTTAAATTTTCTTTTTTAAAAAGCTTTTACTATGATTAGAGGTTAAAATAAATTTAGAATTTAAGGTCTTTAAAAAAGAGAATTTTGATGGACCGTTTCTTTTTCTGTTAATTTCAGCTTGGTGTACAGAAAAAAAAATTCAAATCCAGCTTGAGGAGATGAGTATCGGCCAGCTGGATCAAAACCTACGAAGGTTCTATGCAGAAGCCAGAACGAAAAAGGGCGAAGATTACAGCAAATCTACCTTACTGGGATTCCGTCACTCAATGGAAAGATATCTCAATGCCCCTCCTTTAAACAGAGGCCTAAAAATTTCCACTGATTCGAGATTTTCAAGATCAAACTTGATGTTAGATGCACAAATAAGAAGCCTTAAGCGAAGCGGCAAAGAAAATGTCACACACAAACCTGCTATCGAAGAGGAAGACCTCCAGAAGTTGAAATCCAGCAAAGTCTTTTCCTTCTCTCATGGACTTTG